TTGTTGGTTTTTACACCTTGAGGGTTGGTATGGTTGTTGATGGTAGAAGCATAGCAATAGTAGTCATGACATAATATATAAGCAATTCATTGATAATTTCTCTGGTCCACAGAACAATTGAGTTCCTTCCCTTTTAGACCTGAGATTTAACTGAGCCCTAATATAGGCATCGTCGTTTGAGTATGTGAAAGAAATTCTTCCTCCAAAATTCCCAATGCTTCTGAATCCTTACTAAACACTGAGGATGAATTTTGCAAGAGGAAGTTGTCTTAAATAAGAACTTAAAGAGCTTCCTGATTTGTGAAATACCAATAGCACCATATCGTTTATGGTAGCCGCCTTGATTTATCTGTATTAATTATGCTGTACAAGCTTCCCTTTTTTGCTTGTTTAGCCATAATCTCGGCATGTATACTAACCCTTAGTTTTGGAATGCTAAAAAGACTTGTGTATGCGTTTTTTTCCTTTCAAAAATATTAGTATTATCTATGACGTAAGTTTCAAACTCTCTAGGAGGCTCAACGTAGTGAGGTTGGATAACACACCTTAAATCACAGATCAGATGTATGAACATCTCAATTTAAGTTCTCTGCACATTTTTCACACTCTTTTGGTGCCTTTATTATTGTTTATTGTACTGCCTGAAAAGCAGCATGATAATATTTTTACTACTCTTTTTCGATGGTAATTTATGTTTTATTTGCTAGCACAATTCTCTTATTGCATTTTGTATTTGTTGTTGCATTCTCATGTCTGATTAATGACAAATGACATTAATTTTATATCATAGTATCACACTGATCAAAATGTGCAAAGAGCTTACCAAAATTCTCAACATGTTGAGCATGCTATTCCCTTACTCTCATTGGTTATGAATATAGGGACTGTGACTGCATAAAATTTCTTGGCAAGAAAAGGCTTTAAACTGGTTGCATTAAAGTAATTTATAATTATAGAATGGAATGTTACTGACTTTCCAAAGGAAGATTTTACAAGGCTTTGTATTGAACAGTATGGAAAAGATTTTCGGATCATTTGTTGTCAGTGTTGAAAGACCTTATTAAAAATTAGCCTTCTTTATCCTTCTGCATCAACTGGAGCACTTCACTGTGTGCTTTTGGTTTGCCCTGCCTGCATGAAATATTTAGAAAAGGATAATTTCAGTCAGAAATACAATACATTTTCTACTGTCATATTGGCACTCATGAAAGCTCATTCGTGCCAGGAGCAGCCTTGAGTTGGCCAAGTTGGAGGACCTATTTTGAGGTTCTGCTATGCACCACAATGATATACTGAGAATCTTGCGTAAATATGTATAAAAGATGCAGGTATAGGTGAAAGGGCAGTTTAGTTAAGTTATTACATAATTTGTAGCATGGCTGCTTGAGTGCTGGATCATCATTTGATGCTGGAGGATCCTGACCAAAAATCATCTCGCAGCTCATATCATCAAAATCTGCAGTTTAAAATGCATCACAGTTTTTATTAACTATTCTGACGGATGTGCTTTGTTCTGCTTCGTCACGGTAACTACTTAACCAATATGGAGTGTGAATAGTAGTGGTCTTGTGCTTCTCAAAAGTGATTGGCACGTGGAAGTGTGACTAATATTCAACTTTGATGGTTTTAATGATACAATTTATAATCACATTGTGATTTTATATGGGTTGGTTGTGGAATAATGATTGGCTTCATGGGAACTAGAAGAGTTCAGTCTCTTTCATTATGAGTTGATACATGGAATTAATCATAAGATCGTTATACCCAATTTACGGCCTAGAATGCAGGTGTTAACATCACAATTTCATTTATTCATTTCATGTTTATGTTATTTTACATGCTAGTATTCTCAGTTGAGGTTGGATGGGTCCACTTGCAGTTTTGCACCCTCAGTGGTTATGCATGCGGGCCCTTCATTGACATAATGAGCATGAGCTCCACATTCTAGTGCAGGTACTGTTGCTCTTAGAATTATTGTTCTTTTTCCTTTTTACTGTTGTATACTTCATTTTTTTCATTACTTTAATAACAAATAAGATTTTAATTTTTTCTAATGGCAACTTTTCCTGTATGATTAAAAAAACTATTGTAGTCGGCCTTCTATTTGAATCATAAATATAGGTTCTGAATGACAATATACTTACTAGGCACCATGTTGACAGGCATTCCCAGAGAATCCTTAATAAAGGCTTGAGATGGCATCTTGCATAGATTGATGCACATCCCTATGCAATTGCTCTGCTCTAGAAACCTACAAAAATGTTTAAGCAATGTTAGAGAATTACCTGGATGATCTAAGGGTGATGAAATCTTTAATGATGATTTTGATATTGACGATGATTATGATGATGATGACCATCATGATATCAATGGAGAAGAAGAGAGTCCAACACACAATCATTGGAGCAGGTTATTCACGGCATGAAAGTGTCTTAAGTTGGTGAGGTGGGTTAAACTGTAGAGCTAATTAAATTCGAGGGAGATGTTAAAGTTACCTGCATTTCTTTACATGGACTACGTTCTTTTCTCTTCTTCCATTGAGCTCCGATACCCTGACCTTGTGGTATTAAATAAAGAATGTTAGATTTTTTATTCACAAAGTTGATCAGAAAAATCATATGCCTGCTTTCATGTTTATGAATTTCATGACACAAGTTGTATGGCTTGCTGTTGCGTTCTTAAGGTTGTGTTACCCCCCATACTATCATTGGCTTTCTGTACATTTATTGATGGATTTGAATGAAACTTCGTTATGAGTAACCAGGAGCCGCACGTGCTTTGTGTACCTGATGTTTGCTAAAGGGGGACTTAAGGCTTAAAACATTAGAGCAGGTGTCGTTCTTTATTTTTATTGTGGGGGAGCATAGCTTTTAGGCAAGGCATGGCCGGATTTATGCCAAGACATTAGCTTGGCTACTTCTCTCTATTCCCCCTTTTTTATTTTTGTATTGTATTTTAAAGACGAAAATAAAAAGCCCATCAGGCACCACCGGCCTTGACAGGAACAAATCCTAGGTTGACAGAGTAATAGATTAAAGTAATAACGTAATTCTGGTCACACTTTATCCACAACATAAATAAGAAAAAGGAGTCAAGGTTAACTAAAAAGAAGGGCAGAGCCGTTTTAAGATGAACAAATGGTAAAAAGGATA